GGTTTGAACCTTAAAACGCTGAAAAATCGACTCTTGGGGCATATATGAAGGGTGTACGGCCGCACACACCCTCTGTACGGTCGCACACTCCTGTATGCAACCGCACACGCCACCTGGCCGCACACCCACGACCGCACACACTTCATATGGGCCGTACACTTCCCTTAGGTGAATCACATGTGATTCAACACTTGGTTCAAGTGTTTCCTAGTCCCTAAGGGGGTTCCCTTGCATTTAGTTGCTTCTAAACACTATATTCATGGCTATATATGTCTCTAATTGTCATTTAGGACTCGTTGTGTCTCGGTAATTCTGTCGTGGAACTTCTTGTCCTTACGCGAATCTACCTTCGAAACATCTTCCAAAGGTGAGTTCATACCCCTACGTTTTTCCGAGTTTTCTTGTTTTCAGGGGGGGAATACAAGCAAAAGTACAAGGAAACTTGTACTCAAAATATATTATTTTAAGATAATTATACTTTCAACATGCTTTTAACACGGAAAAACAGTTTTACCAAACGACTAAGAAATCAACTCGTAGAAACAGTTTTCAAAACTAAGAACAATGAACTTGTGAATCATGTAGTAAAATGTATTATTTTATAGAGGATTCATGCAAATCATAAACAGGATTTTCAGTATTATTACTTGTAAATTTGTTAGTCTAAGTTGGAGACACGTCCTTGGTAACACTCCCACCGAATCAGAGTGTAGGACTAGCACTTATGACCAGAATCTCTTGGAGGGAGAGCGTGACTGTTGTGTATAGATCTATACGGGACTGACTATCCCGCACCTCGCTGCTAGCTACAGTGGGACCGGCAGGTCTACGGGTGACAAAGTCATAAAGGATACTGGCCCCCATACGTGCCGTATCAAGTTAATGTATGGTTATAAAACTCGGAATTTAGATAGCAGATATTTACTTTTGTAATAATGAATCAAGTGAACTAACCTCAAAGTAATAATCGATAGATTACTGGAGGGTATTACTAATAATACCTTCCGGACTTAGTTCATCACGGTTTTCTTTTAATTAGTTTTATTTATGTAATAAGGCTAATATACCTCTCTGGGTGTAACCAGGGTTTTTAAAAGAAAACTGCTTTTCGAGTATGGTAGATACTTGCACACCTCAGTTTAGAACGGATAATCAATCATCAACCTTTAGGGAAAATATATAGGATTTTCCCGGGATAACCCGGCTATTCAAAAACAGATTGTTTAATATGTAATCAATGGATATTCATATTCCTTCCACGACTCCCTGGATTGTACATCTCTTGTATGAATCTGGAAGTCATGGAAGGAATGGGTTTTTCAAACACGCTTTTCATAAGAAAAATACAGGATTTTCTTGAGGAACACTTTTCAAAAGGATTCAAAGAACACTTTTCCACCTAAACGAAATGCTTATGAACTCACCAGCTTTATGCTGATATTCTTTCAAAACTGCTTGTATTCTCAGGGAATTAGTAGACAGGTACTCCCAGGAATTTTGCAGAAGACGGAGCGTTAGAGTCAAGTCTTTCTATTTTGCTTTTGATATGAACCAATCTATGTATTAAACAATGTAAACCTTTTTCATATATGTATTCAATGTCTGGTTGTGTTTACTATGCATGCTATGATTCAATTGTTGTGATACTATGCATGACGTCCTCCACCCCCGAACGTTTCCGCCGTTCCGGTTTGGGGGTGTGACAGAAATCTTTTTTTGGACCACGATTGTCACCATTGTCAATGTCCATGGAAACCTTGGAATTAGACCCAATAAGCATCTCTGTTTTAGATATGCTCTTAAGCATTTCTGCTTCAACAACAATCAACATTTGGGTTAGATCAATTAGGGTCACATCGATACTCCTCATATAAAAGTTCTCAAAGAACTGATCATATGGGCTTTGAAGCGAGAGAAGAACCTAGTCAATGGCTTGCTCCCTTGGGAAACGACACCCCTTCTATCGAACTTGTCAATGTACGAGTCTGTCAGAACATGTGTACACACAAAGTTTCCATCTTGATGTTTATATGCCAATAGGGATTGAGTAGTCTCGTATCTTTCAACTTGAGGAAAACGTGACGTTGGGAGAGTCACAGGAGGAGGAGGTGGAAGAAAGATGATGTCTAGTTCCATCATTTCCTAAGGAAGGGAAAACAATTTCACCTTGAATTGAAATTGGAAGACCATCTCTAGAAGACTAAGGAAAACAATGAGGAAGGCCATTTCTATCTTCATAAGATATTTTAAAATTAGGAGAAAAGAAGAATTCATGTTAGTTGATTTTTAATCCTTAATTATTAACCCATAAATTTAAATTAAGGCTAGGATCCATATTTTCGATTCAAACTTTGAAGAGGAATGTCGTGATCAAATTCAAATCTATTTTAGGTAGGTAAGGCTTTTACAAATACCAATCTTATGAAACTCCTAGATCTTTTGAGATTCATTAATTCTTTTCAATGACATGTTTAATCTCGGATTATGCTCTCACTTTTGTGATTGGGATGCCGATGATCACAAACGAGATGTGTATAAGCATGCAAATCCGCTCGACAACCTTGATGTCATTTACCATCTCACATTGATGTGCCGGTTAACCATACACGCTCCATCAACAATGATAATTTTCAAGATGTCCATCATATATCTTTATAGCCCTTATTAGTGTGCCGGTTAATCACACACATGTGCATTTTCATGGATTAACATACTTTTTACATTTTTCCTAAAGTAACTAAGAGTGACATTTTAAAAATAGTTTAGTTACTTTATATCATTATACTTATTAATGAGATTATCTCCTATCAAATCCGTTCGGCTAACGGCCCTCCACCGCAGATAAGAGCGGTGGGTGAGACTGGACACCCATTTAACGACCATTTTATAGGTCGTTTCCTTATACCCTCTTTATAGCATGGTTTCGTGAATGAGGCGTACTAGCGATTTGACCAAATTTTCTTATACATATAATATATTAAACATTTAATAGTATATATATATATATATATATATATATATATATATATATATATATATATATATATATATATATATATATATATATATGGTGAATTTTAAATCCTTTTAAAATACTAGGTTTAAATTTAAATTTTCGAAATTAATAAAAATTAATTTAATTTAAAAATAAACCAATTTTGATTTAATCTTTATCTTTTAATTAAACAATTAATTAAATTAATTAAATCATTATGGATTAAATAATTATTTACAATTAATCATATTAATAAAATAATTTAAATTTAATCCTAATCATAAGTCTTCTAATTTTTGAAAATAGGCTAGGGTTTACTAGGTTTTAATTGTTCAAATTTTAAGGCACTTAAAATAACAAATAAAGAAACAAGGCAAAACTTAAAAGGGATCCTTAAATATTTGAAAATTAGGCAAAGGGGCTAGGGTTTCTAAAACCCTTGCAAATTTCGAAAATATAGGGTGGTTAGGGTTTCAAGAACCCTAGAAGATTTCGAAATTTGCCTCCTTAGGGTTTTCAGAAAACAAGCACCAAAAGTCTCGTGCCTCTAATGGCTCACACCCAAACCCTAGCAAATTAGAGGCTAAAGAGGAGAGAGGAGGAGAAGAATAATTTTTGGTTAGGGTCTTCAGAAAACAAGCACCAAAAATATAGGGTGGTTAGGGTCTTCAGAAAACAAGCACCAAAAGTCTCGTGCCTCTAATGGCTCACACCCAAACCCTAGCAAATTAGAGGCTAAAGAGGAGAGAGGAGGAGAAGAATAATTTTTGGTTTTCTCTTTTAGAAAAGGGATGGCTGAAAATCATAACCCTTAGAGGGTTTATATAGGTGACTAAGAGATAATAGGATAAGACAGCTTCCTTAGATAAACCATTTTTCCCTTTACTTCCTCCGCATCCAAGGCTCCTTAATGCCCAAGGAAAACCCTAGAACCCCTTCTAGAATTCATCAACCCTCATGGGAGGTTCTAGAATTGGTTAGTGCTCAAATTTTGAACATTGTCACCTTTAGTCATTCTACTTTTAATTAATCTAATTAATCCCAAAGTTAACTTCAATTAATTTCTGATTATTTTTTAATTAAACAATATTATTTCTAATTAATATATTATTCTCATAATATATTAATAAATTATTTATTTTGATTTCTAATTAATTTATTAATCATATAATAAATTAATAAATCAATATCTCTCTCCAAAAAATATTCCAGTGCATTACTAGGTTTGAGGGCAACCCAAAAAGAATTTTGCTAATAATTCAAGATTATACTAATTTAGTTATTGGCTTAGACACCTAATCCAACATTAGTTCATTTACATAGGGCTTAAGGTCTGAGATTAGGGTGTAGACTAATTGCAGCCACGCGTCGCGACACTCACTTAGTCGCATCGTGACTAATGACGTCGTACGCGCCGCGTTCTTCTGGTAAAAGCTTCACGAACTAGGGTTTTACTAAAACTCATCTTACTCATTTTCCTTAGAATTACCAATTAAACATAAAAAATAGGTGTTACAATAATACGACCTTAAAATGTGATATATGATTCTATGTGTTATAACTCTAAATGTTTAACTAATATTTGAGAATTAACATGTAGAAATCCTCATAGTGTTAAATATAAGAGGTAATTGTGTCCCGAAAATTGATGAAAATTTTGGTGATAACCATATTGAAGTGAAATCGGCACCAACAATATTCAATTGTTTCTAATTCAACATTGGAAATAGTAATGACTCCCAAAAAAAAAAAAAAAAAAAAAAGATGTTAGGAAGGTTTCGATGGATACTTAAGAGGCATTAAGAGAAGTTCAAAGACGAGGTAAAAGGAATGATAAGAGTAAATCCAACTCATAGTGTAAATAAAGCAAGTGAAGGGAATTTTGGAATCTTGTACAACAATATGGAAAACCTATCATGATGAGAGTAAATCCAACATATATTATAAATAAAGAAAGTGTAGGAAATTTCAAAATCTCTTATTGAAAGTAGAACACAACCTAAAAGAACCGAATAAAATAATCATTTTTATATCATATACCAAAACTCAATTGAATTAGCTACAAAAATCCAATCATCCACTCACATCTTACTTGTTCCTAACAAATGGTGAGGCAAAAAGATTTTCAAACTTGGAGCACATGAAGATATTTGAATGGAATCACCATGTTGAACATTATGAACAATATGAGCACCATCAATGTAGATTAACCCTTCATTTGTTTGCCAATCAATATCCATTGATTCTTTAGGTTTCACTAATCCATGCATTAATCTCAAATGCTCTTGTGTCACTAAAATCGGTTCTCTTACCATGTATTGAAGATCTTTAGATGAAACAGGCATTAAGTATCCACCAGCTGATAGCATTGCAGCCGTTGATCCAGCAGCAGTTGAGACTCTGAGACCACTAGATCGACAGTTGACCAGAGGTTGACTTGATTCCTGTTTTATAATTCTTTAAAAAAGAAAGTTAAGAATAAGTGGAAGAACATGACATTAACATTAACATTAACTTGCTATTTGTATTTGAATTTGAATTTCATAGTTATACCTGAATGAGAACCTAGAAACAGCTGCAGGATTTGGATCTGATATCAAAAAATCATTAAGAGCATATAGTGGAAGTAGCTCTGAGTTCACTTTAATAGCCATTCTTGAAAGCTCAGTAGGAGTCATTCCATTCTCCAAAATGTTATTTAGCATCTACAAGATCAAAAAATATTTCAGAAACAATCTTTTTTTTGTGTGTTTACTCAAAAGTCAAATCTAATCTACCTGTTCAAAGTTTTTGATAGTTGCTGCACAAAGAAAACCAGTGCTTCTTGTTGCATCAAACTCATCACCGAGTTCTTCCACCTAATAATTTCTCAAATCAATAAAACAATAAGCAAAATAAGCATTAAAGAAATTACATTGTTATTAACACACTAACCTCTTGTGGTTGAGTGGGGTCAGAGTTTAATCCAAGTAATGGAATTGAATCATTCAAGAAATGACTTGCACGCAGAAGGGTTCCATCTCCACCAATGGTAACAACAAGATCCACATTATGAATTGGTTGAGAGAGATGACTACGAAAAACAGCATCCCATTCAATGGATTTTCTTCTTAAGATATCTTGACAGAATTCTATGGCAGCTTTATGAACTCTGCATCTGCTATCAATGAATTGTAATACCTGCAAAGTTTGAAAGAAAGAATCGTATGTTTCAAGAAAGTCGCAAAAACATAATGAGGGATGTAGAAGAACAAAGAACATGAATGTAAACGTTGTTTGAGTTTTGACATGGTAATGGAAGATATATGAGTCGTAAATGAAGGTGGGAGATGAAAGCAATCAAAGAAACATAACTACGATGGTCGGTGTTCACTGGGGTATTTTATCAAACACTTGATCTGCATTAGACCCTGATGGTTTATCCCGAAAAAAAGTACAGCGAAGGACGATGAACCAAGACATTGTTGAGTTAAGATCATCGAAATCAAGAAAAGGAATAGGGGAAATTAACCTTAGGGTTTGTATTGCGACGAGGGACGCCGGTTGATTGATGTAACGAGTACACATCCAAGGGCTTTAACAGCAGCAACAGTCGCCTTCTTCCCATATTCCTAATCGGGTCTGTATTGGCGGGAAGGAATAACCAACCGAAAGGAAAGTATTGTAGGCGTCAGCCAACTGTTCATTCGTTTTAACTGCCCTTCAATTCTGCCAAATCTTTACAGAAAATGATGGTTAGAGATAGAACATGGTTTGGAATAAGATATTAGATAACCACACCGATCTAACTATTATATTCATATGTTTCGAAATAAATCAGAAATTGAAAAATACATTCAACACGTTACTATATACTATATGTTTTTCTCCTATTTTTTTTTTCTTTTAATCAATTTTTAGAGGTGACAAACGATGGATATGCGTTAAGTTTGGGTCCAACCTATTAAATAAATAGTTTAAATATGTCTCAACCCATTTGAAAAAAAAAGTATATATAGATTAACTAAATATTATATCACTAATTCTAAACTTAAATAAAATTTTAAAAAGCATGACAAAAAGACAATCTCAATATTTAGATTAAGATTATATTGAAAAAATAATAATAATACAACATTATAAACTATAAATTAATATTTAGATTAATACATGATAATATTTATATAATTATTAAATTAAATTTATATTAAAATTAAATGAATTGTTGGACTAAAAACGGGTTTATAATTTGTATTCAATCCATCATATTTAATTAAATGAGTTAGTCGGGACAACCCATTTAAATTAAATAGGTTGAAAATTTCAACTCATCCTGTTAATTTAGGTTGGATTGACGGATTGGATCGGTTTTTATCGGCTTTAGGTTTTTTAAGGGGTGTTTTGAAAAAACATTTTTATAATTCTTAATGGCCTTGTAGCGAAAATGATAGTTATTTTTGTTCTAAGACTAAAAACAGGGTAACCCACAAAAAAAATATATATATATTTTGGATCTGTTGATAAAAAATTTATCCTTTGAGTTTTTTTTAACCATTGAAACCGGTAAACACTTACAAAATAAACATTGGAACTGATTAGTGCCCGTTTTAAGGATTAAATTGCAAACAAAAAAATCACGAATGGCTTTTTCATTAATAAGATTGAAGTATAAGGACTTTTCTATATATATATATATATATATATATATATATATAGATATATATATATATAATATATATTATATATATATATAGGTTACGTTCTATGGAAAACAAAAAACCCTAAAAAAAACCCTAAAAATCATAAAATGCATAAAAAAATACTTAGAATCACAAAACTTTTTTTTGAATTTTTTTATGAGAAATCGCAGCTTTTTATTAAAATTCGCTGAAAAAAAATCATTTTTTTTTATAAAAAAAATAATTTCAAAATTTTTTTAGCGGATTTCTTTAAAAACCTGTGATTTTTTCATAAAAAATGTCAAAAAAAAGTTTTGTAATCTCTAGGTATTTTTTTTATGCATTTTTATGATTTTTAGAGTTTTTTAGGGTTTTTTTGTTTTCCAAATAACCATTCCCTATATATATATATATATATATATATATATATATATATATATATATATATATATCTATATATATATAATCGATTTTTTTTTTAAAAAAAATTTTCAATGAAAATCTAAAAAAGTTGCGAATTTTCCTCATAATATAAAAAAAAAAAAAAGATTTGTGATCTCTAAGTTTTTTTTTATTTTTAAGGTTTTTTTGTTTTCCATAGAACCAAAACCTATATATATATATATATATATATATATATATATATATATATATATATATATATAATATATATTATATATATATAATATATTATAGATTATAGGCTTAGGTTATTTTGTTTAGAGTATCTATTGTGTTATTGTATGCATAAATGTGGGCCAATCAAATTTACTTATTTATAGAAAGTAATTAATATATATTATTGAATTAAATTCAATTGAAAAATATCATCTTAATTAATTACAATGGTAATTTAGTCAATTAATATAGATTTATTAAAGGAAAATTGCATTTTTTAAGGGATCATAGATTTTATTAATTTTAAAAATCCGATTTTACGAATTATAATACTTTTAATTCGGACATTCTGACAGAATATGTTTATGAGTATATTTCAAAATAAAAATATTCTTAGACCATAAATAACAAAAATATTCTTGAACTTATTTCTTGATCATGACTTAAACAACTTCTTGTAGAATAACAAATTTTTGAACAATCAATTGAAGAATAAAAACAAAAAATATATAATTTCTTATAGAATACGGGTAACAATTGTTAAGAATTACATGAGAATGTTACACTTATTAATAACAAAAAACACAATTATAAATCATTCTACCAGAATATACTATTACATATATTTTTTTCAATACATTCTATATTATTATGGTAGAATAATCCATTCTTTTTGGAAGATTGGTGGTCATTGTTCATCTTCATCCCATACAATGTTTATCTTCAAGATTATATTCTGACAGAATCAGAATTCAAGATTCCATTCCAGTAGAATTGGAATTCGTGATTCTATACCGATAGAACTGCAATCATAGAAAATACACAAATCACAAAGGAAATATCGAGATTTAATTCCCACAGAATCGGAATTCGCCACCATCTGTAGCAGTGCAAATATGATTAAGTTCTTCCAAATTGCTCTTTACTCGATTCCTCTGAAATTAAACAACAGCAAGTAATAAGATTTGAGACTAAAAGATCTAAGCATTACCAAAAAACGTATAAGGATATTGTATCCTGAAAGCAATAATCTAAGAAAAGAATCTGACACTTTACGACAAATAAATTATTTCTCTCAGACAAATCGTCAAACACCTGGTGCTCACACACTTATACATCAAATTAATAACTGTACCACCATTCAAAAGCTTGTAATTCACTTGTCTTGAACAAATCAAGAACTTATGTAGAAACACACCTGTTGAAATTGGAATTCACCAAGAGAATATATCAATTACAAAAAAATTACCTGGAACATAAATCAATTTCTAAAAAACTGATTCCAGGAACAATCAATCTCATAACAAGTTTGCAGGATATAATCGAGATTCAACAAGAAAAAAAACAAAAAAAAAAGGTGAAGCAACTATAAGCTGAAAAAGAAACATACGTGATGAAGGGCGGCTGATCCCCCACCTGCTCTCCGATCTGCCTTCGATCCATTCTTCTTCCCCTTGATTGGACCGCCGATGACGAACAATGGACCAAAGAGGAGCTCATCGTTGTGTCTACTAAGCTGTTTTGGGGAGGTCTGGGACCCAACGACAAGGGTTTATCCAGAAAACATATCATCGAGGGGACTAAAGCTTCTTTGAAACGACTGGATATGGAGTATGTCGATCTGATTTATTGTCATCGACCGAATTTGCAAACGCCGATTGAGGAAACAGTTAGGGCTATGAATCATGTGATCGATAAAGGTTGGGCGTTTTATTGGGGAACTAGTGAGTGGTCTGCGCAACAGATTACAGAGGCTTGGGGGATTGCGAATCGGATTCGGTCGATGTGCTGGAGTTGGAGATGGCGATGGCAATCGATTTTTGTAGAACTCAAGATCGATTTTGTAGTCCATTCTAATTTTGCAGATCGGGAACGAGATTTAAATTGGAGAGATTAGGTCAATACCATGATTATAGGGATTAATTTTGGAAGTTACTAAACAAATTACTAAATTACCATTATTTATTTATTTAATTATTTAATTTTTTGTTTAATTTTGATTGGCCCACATTTATGTATACAATAACACAATACTTACTTTAAACAAATGAACCTAGCTCTATATATATATATATATATATATATATATATATATATAGGTTTAGGTTCTATGGAAAACAAAAAACCTTAAAAATAAAAAAAAGCATAAAAAAGTACTTAGAGATCACAAATCTTTTTTTTGATTTTATATTATGAAAATTCGCAACTTTTTATAGATTTTCGCTGAAAATTTTTTTGAAAAAAAAATCGATTTTTTATTTTATTTCAGCAAAAATTTTATAAAACCTGTGATTTTTTGATGTATAAATAAAAAAAAAAAGTTTTGTGGTTTCTAAGTATTTTTTTTATGCATTTTTATGATTTTTAGAGTTTTTTGTTTTCCATATAATCATTCCCTATATATATATATATATATATATATATATATATATATATATATATATATATATATATATATGATAAAACTATTTGTTTTGTTAAGTGATGGACATGTATGTGCAATACGAACTCACTAGGCCCTAGGCTTACCCATTTAGAAACTTTAAATGTGCGCAACCCAGGAAACTATTTAGCAAGTGGCAGTAAGAAGGCAAGGAGAAGGATTTTACAACAAGATGATAAAGGAGTTCCGGAAAGACGTAACACCCGAAGGTCTTCAATTGAAGATTTTATTTTATTTTATTTTGCTTCCGCTGTAGTTTAGTCTATACGTGAGTTTAGAATTGATTATGGGAGATGTTGGAACGATTATTTGTCATTTAATCGATAGTTGAAAATCGGGGTGTTACAAGTTGGTATCAGAGCCATTGTTTAAGCAGATTAGGTGTTTGCATAAACACTTAAGCTTAGACTGAAGGAACGAGAGGTAATCAAACGACTAAATTAGACCACATCTCGCTTGTAGGTATCATGTCTTCAAGGAGATCTGAAAGGTTTGCTAGTGTCACCCCGGAGGAAGAACAAATTCCAGTTGGAGCTTATGTTAGAGCACCAGGAGATGTATCGGAAACTCCATTGATCCCTAATGCGAGTCATGGACGTGGCCAAGGAAGAGGAAGAGGCAGGGGTAGAGGAAGAGGGTGAGGAGCTGTAACAACACCGATAGCTGCACCGTTTGGCCAGGGTAGCTCCGGCTCCCACTGCGGTCGAGGCCGAGGTCGAGGTCGCAGAAGGGGCCGTGCGACAAACATGATCACTAGAGAAGAGTTGGTTGATGAGATTTCTTGGGCGATACACGCTACCTTGCCAGATGTAGTTGCTCAGGCACGAGATGCAATAATAAGTGAGTACCAGGGTAACTTGGGCGGAGGTGAAGAGGACTATGAGTATAGTACACCAAATACAAATCCTGACCCAAGCATTGCACAACCCTCAAGGCACATTGACAACCATGAACGAAGGGGTTGTAGTTACAAGACGTTCATGAATTGTAAGCCACCTATATTTAATGGAGAAATTGATCCCGTTTTGTCATCAACATGGATCATGGAGATCAAGGGAACATTTGATACTAGCAAATGTGCGGATGAAGA